GACCCGCGCTGGGGCGTCGTGTAACTGCTGTAAAACCTTCGCTCGGAGATCGTCTCCCGGGACGTAGAGAGCACCTTTGCGGGTCAGCAGGCCGTCGCGTATCTGGAATTCGCCGTCCTTTGCTGTCCCTCTTCGCACCTCCTCCATCTTGGATTGTGCAAACGGATCCGTCTGTAACGCGCGTCGTACCGCGTCCAGGTCCACGGCGGCAGAGCGCACGCCCACGCTTGCGGTGCAAAAATGTGCCTGGCTGCCACTGGTGCCGCTTCCTCAAGATACTGCGGTTTCCTGGAGAGCGCATCCGCTATGACGTTGTTGTCTCCCGGGATATACTCTATCCGGAAATCGAAATCCGCAAAGAACTCCGCCCATCTCATGTGCCTCTGGCTCTGGAGCTTCGCCGTGCGCCAATACTCTAGGTTCTTGTGGTCCGTGCGGACCTGCACGGTGTGCTTGGCTCCGATGAGGAAGTGCCGCCACGCCTTGAAAGCCGCGTGGATGGCCAACAACTCCCTGTCCCAGATGGTGTAGTTCTGTTCCGACTTGCTGAGCTTCCGGGAATAGAAGCGCAGGGCCTCCAGTTCTCTTGCGAATCTTCCTGCAAGAGGACGGCCCCCACTGCTCTGTCAGATGCGTCAGTCTCAACCCGCATGGGCCTGCCGGGATTCACGTGTAGCAGCTGGTCTTCGGACGCGAAGAGACTCTTAAGTCTCCTGAAGGACTGCTCCGCCTGGTCCGTCCAGGTGAACTTCTTCTTGGAACTGAGGGTGTCCGTGATAGCTGCCGTCTCTTTCGCGAAACCCCTGATGAACTTGCGGTAAAAGTTGGCGAAGCCGACGAACCTCTGGACCTCCTTCCGATTGCGCGGGCTATTCCAGTCCAACACCGCGCGGACCTTGGCGCTGTCCATGGCTAATCCCTTGTCGGACAGCCGGTAGCCCAGGAAATCCACCTCCGTCACGTCGAACTGGCACTTCTCCAGCTTGGCATAGAGTCTGTGCTCCCGTAGCCTCTGCAAGACCTCCTTTACGTCTCTTTCGTGAGTCTCCTGCATCTCATCTTCAGACATGGAATACAGCTTCGCAGTCGGCAGCGTCGCCCCTGGTAAGAGGTCAATTGCACAGTCGTAGGGCCGGTGGGGTGGTAATTGGTCAGCTTCCTTCTCGCAGAAGACCTCCAAAAACCCCTTGTACTTGTGGGGCACTGCCTGCACCATGCCTAGATGCAGCTGTTGCCCTTCCTCCTGGCCCTCCTCGTCCTGGCCGATCTGGATGCAATGTTGTGCACAGTAGGACGAGCCAAAGGTGAGCTGCCGCTGGTACCACGCCAAGGATGGGCTGTGTCTATCCAGCCAACTCATGCCTAACACTATGGGCGTGTCTGACAGTTGGGTGACATTGAAACTGATGACCTCGCGATGATTCCCAATTTTCAGCAGCATGGGTGGCGTCTGTTGTACCACTTGCCCACCCAGCAACTTCCTGCCATCTACAGTGACCACATTCAGAGGCAGCGTGGCTGGTAGTAGCGCTATGCGATGCTGCTTGACGAACTGCACCCCCACGAAGTCTGCGTTGCTCCCTGAGTCAATCGTAATGGGGACTTCCAGGGTGAGTCCATTAGGCAGCTGGAGAGTAGCAGTGAGCTGCACCACTGGCTTAGGTGGTAAGGGGTCTGTAGGCTGCAAAGCGCTGGGGACTGCTTCACTGACTTGCCTGGCGGAGCCCCAGCGTCTCTCCCTCCAACCAGGCATTCTCGTTTCCCTGAAACTGCTCCCCTTGGAAAGCTTCCCCTGTTACTGTTGCTAAGGCTGCAGTGTGCTTCTGGAGCCTCTGGGGACACTCTTTAGCCATGTGCCGTGCACTGTCACAGATGTAACACTTCCTGGTCCCTCTAGGAGGCTTCGCTTGACTGCTCCTGACGCTGAGGCTCCGGCAGCTGTCTGAGCCTTTGCACCACCCAGTTCCATCGGTTCTTCCCCGCTGCCAGCACAGGCGAAAGGCTTGAACGTTCCAAGTCCCTGGAAGGAAAAGGAGGCGCTCTAGCTGGTGGGCGGACGTGACGCCCCTCCTCCCTGTGCCAAGGGCGTTCTTCTTGGCGCACCCCTATCGTGAGTGCCCTCTGCACGACTTCTGCTAGGGTTTGAGGTCTGTCTCCCTAGCCAGCTCATCTTTCACTGAGCCATGAAGCCCTTCCCAAAACAAGTCCCTCACTGCCAGGGAGTCCTTTTCCCAGCCCAGCACATTCAGCAATGCAAAAAAGCGAGAATGGTACTGACGCACTGTAGCCTTGCCCTGCCGCAATCCATGCATCTCCTGGCGTGCCACATCAACGTCAACAGTAGATTGGAAGCAAGCGTCCATGGCTTTGAGAAATTCATCAGAGTCCCTGCGTGCAAGACCATCTTCGCGCCACAAATTGCGTAACCAGTTTCTTGCTTCCCCATGCAGATGAGACACAATAAACCCCACTTTTTCCTCCTCATCTTTGAAGTCTTTTCGAAGTAAATGCAGTGCGTATACGACGTCTGCTCTGAAATTGGGATAATGCTTCAGGTTCCCATCGAAGTGGGCTACTAAATTGCCCCCCCTCCGTCCGAGTCCGATTCCCTCTGATCTGGACCCCGGGAACCCCTCTCTGCACGCCCGATCCCACCTGGCTTGCAGATCCTGGCATCGCGCTTCTGCTTCAGCAACTGTCTTCTGAGAAACCACGACAGCAGTGGAGAGCTCGGTGACTGCGTTTTGCAGGGACGCTATCTGCTCCTCAGTAGTCATTGCTGCCAAACTCGTGAGCTGTGCAAAAAAATTTTGCGGTTTTTTGTTTGGAGAGGGGACTTACTGTCAAGGCTGCCTCAAGTCTTAGCTCACAAAAGACCAACGCCTATGTCTTCTTATATACAAAGGTGTTTATTGCAGTTCATGGTTTGCTTGACATCCTAGGCGCGCAGCCTTACGTCTCTTACGCTAGACCGCTGAAGTCCCCTCTGAGTCAGTTCCTCCCCTGCACCAATTTAAGAGACTTGCGCTGCTCCACCTCTTTCTCTCCTTCCTTTTCCGCAGGGTCCTTCTGCCCACTGGGGTTTCGCCCCTCCTGGATTCCTCTGACGCGGAATCCCAGACTGCTCTTCCCCCTCCTGCGGGCTTTGGGACCTGGCCCCTCCTCCGGGCTCCCTGCACTTCCGCGCGCCTCTACATTTGAACTAGGCGCGCGCGCCAAGCCTCTAACTTTCCTTTTGACAGTTACACTACTCCCTTCACTGCTCCCTCCCCTTCCGGGAGGGCGGCTTGCTCTGACCCCCTCCTTTCTCTGCTGCTGGAGCTGCTTCCTCTGACACACTGGAAACTCCACCCCTTCGCTGCACTCTGGTGGGGAGGCTGGTCCTGACGCCCAGCTGCCACTTTGGGATCCTCCGCTGGCACCCTGCTCCTGACACTTCCCCCTGGGGCTCCCTGGCCTTGACCACCGGCGCCCCCTTCTGGGAATCCTCTGATTCGCTGGAAAGACTCATGGAATCTCTTGAGTCATTGTCATCCTCTTCCTCGCTGGCTTGGAATTCCTCCCCATCGCTCTCCATCTCCTGCCTACCCTGTGCCTCTCTCCCTGAACCCCTGACAGCTATGTATTTTTATTTATTTTTATTTATTTGCCCCCCCTTGGCTACACCCATGGTTCCATCTATCATAACATTTTGGAAATGCCCTGACCCACCCACCCCAACACTGATGTTGATTTTCTGAGATATCAGGCGCTCAAGCACAAGTCATACATAAAGAATCGCTGCTGTTTCTTTTTGTGTAGCCTGTTTAGACTGGAAATTTGCCTCAGTTTTTTATTCTCTAAGGAAGGTTCTGTAAAGTGCAGGATAATGTAGTAGCTCACAGCATGACAGGATGATCCCAAGAAGCTCAGTTAGTTGGGGACATGGGCATAGCCAGGGGGTGAAGCAGCCACCCCTAAATCAAGTAAATAAACAAAAATACAGAGAGTCTGATATTCCAGATGTAATCACACTTCTTCCTTAGAGCAGCCTCCTATTCATTTATTTCTTGTTGAAAGATTGTTGAAAGAAGTTGTCAGGGGTTCAGGGACAGAGGCACAGGGTAGGCAGGAGATGGAGAGCGATGGGGATGAATCCCAGGACAGCGAGGAAGAGGATGACAATGACTCAAGAGATTCCATGAGTCTTTCCAGCGAATCAGAGGATTCCCAGAAGGGGCACCGGTGGTCAAGGCCAGGGAGCCCCAGGGGAACGTGTCAGGAGCAGGGGGCCAGCGGGGAGCCCAAAGTGGCAGCCGGGCGTCAGCACCAGCCACCCCACCAGCCAGCAGCGAAGGGGGCGGAGTTTCCAGAGTCTCAGGGGACGCAGCTCCGGCAGCAGAGAAGGGAGGGAGGTCCGAGCAAGCCACCCTCCCGGAAGGGGAGTAGTGAAGGGAGTAGTGTAGCTGTCAAAAGGAAGGTTAGAGGTTGGGCGTGCGCGCCAAGTTCAAATGTGAAGGCACGCGGAAGTACAGGGAGCCCGGAGGAGGGGCCAGGTCCCAAAGCCCGCAGGAGGGGGGAAGAGCAAGCTGGGGATTCCGCGTCAGGGGAATCCAGGAGGGGAAACCCCAGCGGGCAGGAAGACCCTGAGGACAAGGAAAGAGAGAAAGAGGTGGAGCAGAGCAAGCCTCTTAAACTGGTGCAGGGGAGGGACTGACTCAGAGGGGACTTCAACGGTCTAAGAGTAACAGACGTGGGGCTGCGCGCCTCGGATGTGAAGCAAACAATGAACTCCAATAAACACTTTTGTATATAAGAAGAGATTGGCGTTGGTCTTTTGTGAGCTGAGACCTGAGGCAGCCCTGACAGAAGTGTTTTGCAGAAACTAGCAACAACTTTATCTATCAAGAAGACACATGTAGTTCATAGTAACTGTCTTTCAGGGCAGTTTGTCTAGTAACAAAAGCAACTGTTGCTATGAACACTGACTAGTCACTAGAATAATAAGATGAAAGCTGGAGGTGGGGTTCGGGGTGGGGTTAGTCTTTCTTTAAACAAACATGTAAGTATGGATGCCAAGAAGAAGAAGTAAGACAAGCGTTTCTGTGGGGGAGGGAGTTTATTGACTGCTCAGATATAAGACTCACAACATCATTTTATAACCAAAGAAAGTGCCTTTATGTGACCATTAAAACAAATCAACTGGAATTACCGGTATATTCACAGAAAGCCTTTAGCAGAATCATTTCCTGTCCTCGGAATCCAGCTGGAAGTGTTGGGTGAGCCGACTGCATAATCAAAAAGGCCAGTAAGTTACTGTGAGACATACAGAGGAAGCTGTGTTCCTTTTCAAATCTGTCTGTCAACAGTCACACACACCAAGCAAAAGCCACCCATAACAGACGTTTTCCTTGATAAATGGGAGAACTGTCTGATAATCAACAACCATATAATTTTATCCAGTAGTATTAGTTTGATCTGACAGAAACTGCACATTTCCCGAGAAGCACTGAAAGAATGCTTCATTTAACTACAAACCCCCAAATCTGGGATCCCATCAAAACTGATGTTTGGCAAAAGTTTTGCAGCAAAACCCCCACATTTTGTAACACCCCATAAACACAGTAATTGATACATCAAACCGGGGTTCATAATTAATATCCAAAACCCAACATTGTCCGATTCACTCCAAACTGGTGCCAAAGTCTGGCAAAAGTTTTGTAGCATTTTGCCAGACATTGTAGCATTTTTGTAGCATTTTGCCCGACAAACCAAGTAACTGACAGGGGTCATAAGGTCACCCCAAAACCCAACATCGTCTGATTCACTCCAAATCAAGGCCAAAGTCTGGCAAAATGTTTGCAGTAAAAACCGCATGTTTTGCAGTGCCCCCCAAACAGAGTGGTTCCTAGCACATCAGGAGGAAGAGTCAAGACAACCAAAAGTGGATAAATAGGTTGTATTTATTAAATATAACAACTTGAGGATCGGCAAAACTAGTCAGATTCGACCAATGTAACCAAATCAAATTAAGTCTGGGCAGGTGTGCTTGTTCACCTCCACCCACAAACACACAAGTGCTCAAACAGAGCTCTTTGCAGATCCTTAAGAATCATGTCACAACCCAAATCAGAAAGATGCATACCACCAGGTCTATACAACTGTGGGGCACAGAACATAATTCTGCCATGAGGGATATAAGCAGCCACATTTTCAAACACAAACGTCGTTGTAGAATGATTAGCTTTATGTCTTGCCCATCCACCTTCTTAGGAAGGCTGCCCCCACTCCATAAGCACCTCTACAACATTCCAAACCAAACTATGATAAGCTCAGGGATGAGGAAGCACAGCTGATGGAGATATTTAGTGATCTCAACTGAATTTACCTCACCAGATTGTTATCCCCAAGATGGATGACCAGAATATCAGGGTTAGGGCAGGGGATAGGTGGATGTTCAGGGTTAGGGTTAGTGCCTGGGGTTTTTTTCATGCTTTTTAAGCTTCTAATGATATTGCTTCATTTTTATGAGACTGGATAATTCCAAAAATAAGCAAACTACCTGAAACGTAGCAAAACTAAGAGAAATGTGAAAACCAAAAGTGAGATACCAGAAACCCAACAAGGAAGGAATTCATGAAAAAGGAAAATTGCCAGACAGAGACTTCAATCAAATCATATCCAAATTCACCAGAATCCCAAAACCAATTGAAAAGAAGCAGAAATGTGAGAAGCAGAAGAAATACCACCAGAAACCCCCAACAAGAGGGAAAAGGTAAATTGCGCAGAAACCCCAAAGCCAGTTAAACCTTAGTTTTGCATGGTGTGGGGGTGATTTCGCCTTTCCCTGAGATGTTTACTGCGTGGGTTTCTTGTGGTTCTATTCAATTGGTTTTCTCATCTTTGGTGGATGTGGTTTGTTTCTGTTGTTTCTGGTTTGTTTTGGGGATTATGTTGAATTTTTTCTGTGGTTTTCGTTTCATAGATTCTTTTATATAAATTACGATTGTGAAATATACTCAGAGTCTTGTATGTATTTCATGCTCTTTATTGCCCCACCCAACCTCAGGCTTTTATATACATTATTTACACAATGAGTCCCGTCTGACTGGCTAACTCTGCTTCCCTCTTGGAGCCTGATTGGCCTGCAGGAAAAGACCAATCAGTTGTTGCATTCTAGGGTCCAAGGTTAGTACATAACAGATTGGGTGCTGGATTTATGGTGAGTTTGCTTCATTTCTAGGTTTTTTGGGTTTTGCACCTTTGAGAATATTAATTTGTATGAGATCTGATAATCCCAAGAAAAAAAGGAAAACCACCAGAAATGAAGCAAAACCACCAGAAATGTCTAATGACCATTCCAACAATGAAGTCAACCACTAAAAACACAAAAACCTACTGAAAAGAAGCAGAAGAACCATGTAAAAGCAACATCAATGGAAACTGACAAAGAAGCCAACCAATCCCAAACAAAGCAGATTCACCAGAAACCCCCAAAGCATTCAAAAGTATTACCACCAGACCATATCATACTTTGCCCCCCTCATACTATAGCTAAAACTACTGCTGCAATCTAATACCGCTGATATTACTGTACTATCTCTCCTCTCTATTTCAACTCTCTTTTTGTCCCTCTCTCTCTCTCTTCTCTTTTACTCCAATCTCCCCTCTCCCCCACCTCCCCCCCTTCTTCTTTCTTTCTTCTTCTTCCCTTTTCTCCCTCCACCCTTTACATAGAGCCTATTTGTCTGTCTCTGTTTCTGAGCGCACTCCCAACCCCAACTCCCACCTTAGCTGGACCCCAGTACCCCTTTTGGGTATATACAACCCCCTCCTAAACACATATTTCCCCTGGCCCCACCCCTCTAATCTTTTGCATCTCTACCTGCTAACCCCCCCCTTTATATGAACTGTCTGCCCGTTAGTCTACCCATCTCTGCTTACCTGCCCCCCCCCCCCCGCTTTGGCGGCACCGCTGAGGCAACTACAGAAACCCTAGAGAAGTTCTCAAAACACAGGCTAGAAGTGACACAAATGACCACCTAATTCAAACGCTCTGTTTAAGCCACCAAGAAAGAACGCCTGATCAGCTCAGCAACCCAACAATACCCAGGAATCACCACTGCCACAACTCCTAACCACCACACGCCCTACTCCAAGAGGACGCCAAGCCAACCTCAAACCAAAACCATCAGGGAGACTGAGATGACACCAACCAGGAGATGACAAACAATGCTAAGACGGTAACTCCCTTCAAGATGATGACCACCCAATAACGAAACGAGATTTGAGGGAAATGGAAGCAAGATTAGAAGCACGATTAGAAGAAACACTGAAGGCCACAATGGCTCCCATGCAGGTACTAATCAACAACCTAACCTCCAAAGTGGAAGCTCTAGAGAACAAGAACCAAATGCAAGAAAGAATAATAGAGCAATACCGGGAGGAGAACGCACGTGTGAACAAGAAACTGGACGAACTGGTAAACCAAATTGAAGCAGAACACAGAGAGATGAAAATTAAGCAAGCCGACCTTGAAGACCGCAATAGACGTTGTAACATCCGCTTCCGCAACTTTCCTGAAAAAACAGAGGAGAAAAGCCCAGCAGACCTAATTATACGCTGGCTGAAAAACACAATCCCAAGCCTGAAACTTGAGGCAGATGACTTGGAGAGGGCTCACAGAGCCCTAAAACCTATGCCAAAACCCAGCGCCCCCCCAAGAGACATCATTGTATGCTTCACACGCTACAAAAAGAAGGAAGAGGTATGGTACCACCTCAGAAACTCAACCAACCTTCGATATGGAGAAATCCCCATACTGGCCTTACAGGACTTATCTCAGGATACCCTAAACCGAAGGAAAAGCTTGCGCCCATGCACCCAGCGTCTCCAACAAGCAGGGATCAAATACCGATGGGGCTTCCCCTTCCGCCTCATTGTAACAACCAATACAACACAACACATGGCTACCAACATACCTGAGGCCCTGCAACTACTAAAGAACCTTGAACTCGACCTCCCACCGGAATGGCAACCGACAAACCCACCAAGTGACAGCCCCAACCATGAGGAAACAACAGCAAACAACTGGACGACGGTACAGAAGAAAAAGAAACAGAAGCGGCACAACAGTGCAAACCAATACAGAGAAGCATCACGCTCAGAATCGTCCCGCCGGCCATATGACACAAGAAACCAGACCAAGATTAACCAAACCAACTCATCGCAGATGGACAACCCTACAACAACAACAACCCCAGCTGAATGAAGCAACCAGGAAAAACCACAAACTGAAGGACTGGTGATTCCCCCCTTTTCCCCCTCTCCCCCCAAAAACATAGATTTCGTTAACACCATCAACATCCTCCCCCAGCCCCGCACCCCCACAGAAATCCCCGCCCCAACACCAGTCCAGACGACCTCAACCACATTCCACATCACCCACACCTTCAACATCCCCATACCCCATACTAAGAAAAAACAACTCCAACCTTAATAACACAACCCACAGTCAGGCTAAAATCTGATACCCAACCAGCACTATGGTGGCACCAGAGCGTACCAGCACCCACATCCCCACCCCAACACACCAACAATGTTGCTCATAACATTGGCAACATTGCTTACGAACCTTATACCTGACAGCGACGTTACAAAGTCACTTCACACTGTCTCACTGATCACCCCCTATCGCAAACAACAGGGGGGATGGCCTGTCCTTGAACACGGCCTTCCACACCAGCTGAGACCTAGGACCAACCGGCTAAATGCCAGATGGCCTAAAATACCCCAAACAAACACCTATATGACTACATATAGGAAACTCTCTACAACTTAACCCCTACTCTTTAACCCAAATCTTACTCTAATCCCATTAGCCCCCACCCGCCACACCCTAGGTCAGCGCAACCCCACTGGTACTTTAAACAACACGAAGAGAGAGATACAAGACAACCCAAACGGGTTGGCAGGGAATCGCCCCACATAATAGATAAGCAAGATGGCTAACCTAAAAGCAATTACATTAAACGTGAGGGGGCTGGGAAACCCCATCAAAAGAAAACGCATCACCTCATACATAAACACCATGAAACCACACATCACCTTCCTACAAGAAATACACAACCCACCCAAAGGCAGCAAACTCCTGAGCGACCCCCGCTTCAGTCAACAGTGGGTCGCACGAGGCTCAGGGAAAGCTCGTGGTGTAGCCATAATACTCAGTAGAGACCTGAACTTCACTGCCACAACAGTCCTCAAGGACAAAAAGGCAGATTCATTTTCGCTAAAGGGACACTAGATGGCAAAATCAAACTGACAATTGGCTCCATATATGCCCCAAACACGAAACAATTAGAATTCTTCCAGAAGACACTAAACAAATTCCTCTCCTTCTCTGAAGGGGAAGCAATCCTAGGAGGGGACCTCAATCTAAATATGAAAGGCATAGCCCTGAAAGATATCCACCCTACAACCCCATGGGCAACCTTCCTCCGAAGGAAACCCCCAACAACTAGGAACCCTTACAAGTTACTAAAAATGCTAAAAAGCAGGGGTCTCTACGACATTTGGGGTGAGCAAAACCCGGAGACATCAGCCATACATTCCAATCGGGACGCCATGATACAGTATCCAGACTGGACAGCATTCTACTCACACAGGGTCTGATCCCCTCAGTGGAATCAACAAACATAGGTAACATTAAAATCACAGATCACGCCCCAGTAGAAGTCATCGTTAAAATAGGAGAAGGAACACAAACCACCCCATCATGGTCCTTCAGTCCCATCCTAACTACAAACAAACAAATTAGAGAGAGTCTCACAAAAACCCTCCAAAACTACTTCAAGGAAAACGATGTAAACAATATAACAACCCCTCCTATGGGACGCAATGAAAGCGGTCACCAGAGGAGCTTGCATAAAAGAGAAAACATTCCTTAAAAAACAAACCTCCTCAAAAATTAGCAAAATAGAACAAGACATCACAGCCCTCTCATCACGCTACAAACAAACAGGATCTAAAAACTCCTCAAACTTATGGAACAAAAAAGGAGAGAACTAGACTCCCTAGAAATTAACAAAACAATGATCAACATTCTATACTCTAAACAACGTTTCTACGAATATGGAGGGAAAACTCCAGATTACTAGCAAATAGATGCAGGAAAAAGCACTCAAAACAAGAATACACTGCATCACCAAAAAGACGGCAACATAACATTCTCCCCGAAGAAATAAACTCAGAATTTGCAGAATTCTACTCCAACCTATACACCTCCCATAACCCACCAGAGAAGGAAATCAAAAATTTCTAGCAGGACTGTCCATGCCTACCCTAACTGATGAGGAACAGGAATTCATGGACAGCCCTATCACCCCAGAGGAAATAGATGCGGTCCTCAAAAACCTGAAACCACACAAAGCCCCAGGCCCAGACGGCTTCACAGCAGAATTCTATAGGAAATTCAAAGAACCCTTGATGCCCTACATGACCCGCCTATTCAACGACATCATAAAAGGGGGCCCCATCCCCAAAACCTGGACCCACTCCAAAATAGTCTCCATCCCAAAACCACTAAAAGACAGCCTCAAAGTAGAATCATACCGCCCAATCTCATTAATAAACCAAGACTACAAGATATTCACATCAATCTTGGCCAACCGCCTAAAAACCTTCCTACACAAGTTAGTAGCCCCAGACCAGACTGGCTTTGTCCCTGGCCGCAATATAACAGACCCCATCAGGAAACTACTGAACCTGATCGAACACAGCAAGGCAACCAAACTCCCATTGACAATTATGTCCCTAGACATCCTCAAAGCCTTTGATTGCTTAGAGTGGAAATACATATTAGCAGTACTAACTAACATGAAATTTGGCCCCAACTTCCTACAAATTCTCAAACAAATATACTCCCAAGCCTCAGCAAAATGCAGAACTAACAATATGGATTCTAATACTATAGCTATCCAAAGAGGCACGAAACAAGGATGCCCACTGTCTCCCTTCTTATTTATCCTGGCTCTGGAACCCTTAGCAATCAGCATCCGAGCAGCCACAGACATCAAGGGAGTGGAAATAAAAGGCAGAACCTATAAATTAGGGCTCTTTGCAGATGACCTAATGGTCACAACACCAGACCCCATAAGCACAGCAACCTCCCTAATCAGAGAACTCAACACATTTGCAATGGTGTCGGGCCTACAGGTAAATTTTACAAAGTCAGAAGCTATGTGCTTCAACACCCCTCCTCACACCCAAAAAGAACTCACGAAGGTCACCAAAATAAAACTTTGCCACACCAAGTTCAGATACCTAGGGGTACAAATAACCAGAAACCTCAATAAATTGTACCTCCACAACTACAAGCCCCTGTGGCGACAAATTAACAAAGACCTAAAGAGATGGAATAACATGAATTTCACTCTCTCAGACAAAATAGCCATGATCAAAATGATCACACTCCCAAAACTAACCTACCTATTCCAAACCCTCCCAATCTGGATCCCTCAACCCAACTTCGCAGTTGGCAGAGAAAACTACACTCTTTCATCTTCTCACATAAAAACCAAGAATAAGCCTCAAATACCTGCACCTCCCCACCTCAGAAGGAGGATGGGGAATCCCCAACATAGAAGCATATTACAATGCCAACCAAATACGCCATATAATCCCATATATACTAGAAGATGAGACAAAACAATGGGTACACCTAGAGAGGGACACAATTGAAAATACCTGCACCACAACATACCCATTCCTCCCAAACAAACTAAAGAAAATTCCCACAACACTTAACAGGTACACACAGACCATGCTCAAAGCATGGAAAACACAAATAGGCAAACTATCCCCAACCCCATCCCCACTAATCCTCTGGCGTACCACCCATTATTCCACCATGCAGCACAAAACCTCCAGATAAAAACCTGGCAAACCAAAGGCTTATATCGCCTAATAGACTTTTATAAAAATAACAAACCCTTGTCAACACAAGAAATACAAGACAAACTAGAAGACACCCAAATGCCCTGGTTAACACAACACCAACTACATGCCCTCTTAAACAACCCAACAGTAAAATCAGCAGCAACTAGGCCCCTGACAACCTTCGAAAACCTCCTCCTAACAACAAAAGGAAACGGTAAAGGGACGGTATCCGCAATATACAAAATACTACTCCAAAATCCCGCAAATCCCCTAGATGCAATCAAAAACAATGGGAGAATGACATAGGCTATGAGATTAACCCCACTCAATGGACCAGAATGTGGTCTAAACCCCCTTTAAATCCATATCAACGAAAAGAAAAGAACTCACACTGAAACTCACCTACAGGTGGTACCTAACACCAAGGAAACTAGCGCTAATACACCCAGGAACCTCACCAAAATGCTGGAGAGGGTGCACCTCCACAGGCACATACCTCCACATGTGGTGGGAGTGTCCCAAAATCCAACTATTCTGGACAACAGCCATACAAGAAATATGTAAAATAACTAAGCAAGTAATAGACATCACCCCAGAATTGGCCCTACTAAACATCTTCCAAGACAACAATGCCCATTTACACCACAAAGAACTCATAACCCACCTACTTTCAGCAGCCAGAAACACCATAACCAGACACTGGAGAGACCTGTCAGGAGTAAACATGGACCAATGGTACCAAATAGTATGGGAAACAGCCCTACTAGAAAAATTAACTAATAAACTGAAACTGACACGGGACAAACAGAAGAAGACGTCTTCACCCTGGTATGGCTCCCTTTATCACATACACAGCCCAACAGGACAATGACAATAATCCACCAACAGCATACAAATCAATATGGCTAACCTGATCCAAAACACCCACCCACCTCACTCACACACGAAAACAAAGATCACCACAGCCAATCACAAGCAGACAATCACACCCTAGGCCAACCCCAACCTCTCTCACCACGAAAGGAACACAAGTGAACAACACAAGCAACGCTGACACCAAACTCTACATACATTAAACATAATAGAAACACCGCCACCCGACCCCACCCCCATCCATCTTCCCTCTCTCCACCCCCTTTCTTTTTCCTTTTTTTTCTTCTCCCCTAATGCCTCAACAAATGAAATGGATTTGTAAAAATGTTACATGAAAAAAATATATATACGAGGCAGTACACTTACTTCTGTAAAACAAGAAAATCCTTAATAAAATATTTAATAAAAAAAAAAAAGTATTACCACCAGAATGCAAAAACAAGAAAACTTCTCAAAAGAAGCAATAAGGCAAAAGTCCAAAAAACAAGCTAAACCAATGGAAAAGAAATGAAGCCAGCTGCAAACGAAGCACATTCACCAGAAACCCAAGACTATGTGAAAACTAGTATGCTATGTTGGTTAATTTCTGTTGCTTGAAGTGCTTTTGGACTCCCATAAATTGCATGCTTGTTGAGTTTCTGGTTTTGCTTTTTAAAAACTGGTTTCCAGTTTCTTGTGGCATTGCTTTGTAATTGGTGGCTTTACTGCTTCTTTTTGTTTTCTGCTGATTTGTTTAATTTGGGGTGGTTTTGCTTGTTTTTTTGCATTTAATTGTTTTGCTTCTTTTACTTTGAATGGTTCTGCGGTTTTGGGTGAGATTGTTTCTTTTCCATTGATTTGGCTTGGTTTTCATGTCTCCTGGTTTTGCCTCATTTTGGGAATATTTCTTGGTTTTTGTGCTTCTGGTGGTATTTCTTCAATTTTATGACATAACCAAGCCAAAACACCAGAAACACAGAAACAAATCATAAAGAAGCAGAGCTACCAGAAATCCAAAGCAAATTAATCAGAAATCCAAACAACCTATGAAGATGATGCAATACCAAAAGAAACACAAAAGCCAATTAAAAACTGCTAAATGAAGCAACACCACAAGAAACAAAGAAAGCCTCATAACCTACGAAATGAAGCAATAACACAAAACACCACAAAAAGAAGCAAAGCGTTTAGGATTAGGTTTGGGTAAAGGTTAGGGTTACAGTGAGAGTTGGGTTTGAGTTGGATTAGGATTAGGAGTTAGAGCTGGGGTTGAGTTACGGTAAGAGAAGAACAGCAGCAGAAGAAATATAATTTTATTACTTAGGGTTAGGGTTAAATTAGGTTTAGGTTTAGACTGAGGCTTAGGTTTGGGTTAAGGTTAGGGTTAGAGTGAGGATTAGGTTTGAGTTAGGGTGAGCATTAGGATTAAGGTTTGGTATTGGGTTGGATTTGAGTTAGGCTAAGAGAACAGCAGCAGGAGCAATATAATTTTATTATTTATACTCCACCCAAGTCACTTGTGACCGCTTTCAATAAAAGGTAAAAACATGAGCGCACTCTAAGTGAATGCTCATGAATATGGAAACTCTTACTTCCCATAGAATTCCCAAAGAAGACCTGGGAATTGTAGCTCTGAGCTTCTTTGCAGAGGGTTGGACTAGATGACCCTTGGGTTCCCCTTCCATCTCTACTAGGATGCTCCCTGTCTCACTCTCACTCACTCACTCACACACTCCTCCTCTCCTTTTCATGGCAGTTTCACCTTTTTCTGCACTCCTAGCTCGGAAGGGCGGAAGAGGCTGTGCTGCCGCCATGTTGCGCGAGGGCAGGGGTACCGGAAGGAGGTGCCACCGGAGGAGAGGCAAGAGGACAGGAAGGGGTGGGGGAAGGGCGGAAGAGGCTGTGCTGCCGCCATGTTGCGCGAGGGCAGGGGTACCGGAAGGAGGTGCCACCGGAGGAGAGGCGAGAGGACAGGAAGGGGTGAGGGAAGGGCGGAAGAGGCTGTGCTGCCGCCATGTTGCGCGAGGGCAGGGGTACCGGAAGGACGTGCCACCGGAGGAGAGGCATGAGCACAGGAAGGGGAGGGAAATGGGCGGAAGAGGCGCTGCGACGTTGGGCCAGCAGAGACGTGCCGAGCGAGGCTGGCCCTCTCTCTTTCTCCCACCCACTCTCTCTGTCGACCCCGCTCTCCCAGGGTGCAGCCCTGCCCCCCGCCTCGTCCTCACCTGCCTTTCTCCCCCAGTGGCCTTCCTCTCGTGCCCCTTTGCGGTAGGATGGTGCGGGTGGGCCGCGGAAGTTTATATACAAGAATATACATACCTAGATATAGGTGTCCGTTTGTAAATATATAAAAATAAAATGGATATATGTATATGTGTGTGTGTATCTATGCAGTACTTCTTTTCTAAAAAAAAGTGACTGGGGATACTCTCATTTTGACTCAAGAAAACCACCATTTTATAGTTCAAACCGGGAAAAATAAATACAGTAAATGGACAAAAGTACATTCACAAAATGTTTTAGGAGTATCCATTCCCCTGCGTCCCCCCCCCCCGAAAAAAAGCGCTGTATATGTTCTGCCAAGGGCAGGGTTATTTCTGGATCTGGAGCCAATAAGCACGCCAGTGGATGAAGAATAAGCAATGCTTTATTTGCATAAGGTTAACAGATAGCAGCAGGCATACAAAACACAAATTATAGCATACCAGAGAGGAGTCGCACACAATCTCCCCTTCAGCTGCCCGGAGCTCCAGGTAGAGCAGCGAGAGAGACCCCTTGGCCGACAGTCTCACAGCATCTGGTACCTCCATTTGTGAAGAAACTCACTGAGCCCCTTCAGCCTACAGCTTTTATAGACAACTTTGATTTGATTGATTGCACCTGGTTAGCAGGCATCACTCATATCAGCCTGGGACACCAGGTGCAACTAATGCAGAGCAACTGAGAGTCTCCAACCCAATTCACTGCAACTGGGTATCCTCCCCACTAGCCAATCAGCACTTAGAACACAGGGGACCCAGAAAACTCCTGACACAGGTGTGTGAAAAACAAATTATACTATCATGTTTTAGCAAACCTTAAACCGCGGATGTAAAAGCGAAAGAGACATGTCATCTAACTCCTTGAATTTACAGTGGTCTTCCGTGTTTCCCCTACTGTGTGTGTGTGTGTGTGTGTGTGTGTGTATTATATATCTATAAAATTGATACATGTGTGTGTGCGCGCACGCACACGCGCATGCATATACAGTCAAACCTCAGTTCCCAGACGGCTCCGTTTTGGAATGTTTCAGCTCCAGAATGCTGAAAACCTGGAAGTAAATGCTCCAGTTTTTGGAAGTCAAACATCCAACGCAGCTTCTGCTTGAGTGCAAGAAGCTCTTGCAGCCAATTGGAAGCCATGCTTTGGTTGTCTAATGTTTTGGAAGCCGAACAGGCTTCCGGAATTGATTATGTTCGACAACCAAGGTTTGACTCTGTGTGATTATGTTCGACAACCAAGGTTTGACTCCTATTGCCTTGGTCTCCCCCTGCTTTCTCCAAGGAGTCCATGGTTCGCCCTGCCCATTGTTCCTTGCAACAACCCTGTGAGGTAGGTTCAGAGGATAACACAGGTTGAAAGGATCCCTTGGTGATGGGTTTATATATATATATCTCTCTATATATATATATATATATAATTTTTATTCGTTTTAAACACATTTATATTGTCATACATTTTACAAATTTCCAACTCTTATACAATCTTTTGGACTTCCGTTAGCTCCTCTGATGATCTCCCGTCTTTAAGATTTCTCCTGCATTTCTTAAATTTATATTACCTTTAACCTCATAACCGATATCATCCCTTTCATTCAATAAGGCAATAATTCAAATTATTCCCCTTACAAAACTTCCTGCAAACCTACAAATGTAATCGAGTCATCACAATTACTTTTCATATAGTCCGTAAATTTACGCCAATCTTCTGTAAATCTCTGGTCCCGCCGGTTTCGGATTCTTCCCGTTAATTTGTCCAGTTCTGCATAGTCCATCAGTTTCATCCTCCACTCTTCTTTCGCCGGTAATTCTTCTTGCTTCCATTTTTGTGCCAATAAAATTCGTGCTGCCGTCATTGCATACAAAAACAACTTACAATCACTTCTATTTATATCAGTTCCTACAATGCCTAATAAAAATGCTTCAGGTTTTTTGATACCTGATGAAAGCCAAATCTGGGTCAGAGGGAGGAAATATCAGTGCTGAAAGATGGGTGAGACAACAGAGTGGGGGTGGCTCCCATATGTCTGTAAATAATAAATAATAAATAAATTACCTACTGTTATCATCTGCGATTTTTGGGTGAATGTGCATTCTAACCCCAAAAACACCAATTTGAAATAAGCCCAATCAGAGCTTTATGATCTTTTTATGTAGATGGAACCCAAAAGACCGTTTCGCTTTGGTTGGGGGTGATTCTGGTGCACACCCATAAAACCCCATGCGAATTGAAATAAGCACAATCAAAGCTTATTTGTCTTCTTTCTAGGCATATGGAAGCGAAAAGACAATGTTGTGTTATTTTGGTCTCATTACACACACTTTGCGATTTCTGGGTCAATGTGCATTAACACCAAAGAACACGAAATAAGCAAAATCCAAGATTCTTCTTTCTATGTTGCTGCAACCCAAAACAACCTGTTTGGCTTTGTTTAGGCTTATTACACTTCGCTTTGCTATTTGTGGGGGACTGAACACCGAAAGAACAATGCAAGCTTATTCGTCCTCTTTCTATTGAGATGGAACCAAAACACCTATGCTTGGTTTGGGCTGATAATAAACATGTCACTCTGCGATTTTTGGGTGAATGTGCATTCTAACCCCAAAAACACCAATTTGAAATAAGCCCAATCAGAGCTTTATCATCTTCTTTTTATGTAGATGGAACCCAAAAGACCTTTTTGCTTTGGCTGGGGGTGATTCTGGTGCACTCCCATAAAACCCCATGCGAATAGAAATAAGCCCAATCAAAGCTTATTCGTCTTCTTTCTACGCATATGGAAGCGAAAAGACAATGTTGTGTTATTTTGGTCTCATTACACACACTTTGCGATTTCTGGGTCAATGTGCATTAACACCAAAGAACACGAAATAAGCAAAATCCAAGATTCTTCTTTCTATGTTGCTGCAACCCAAAACAACCTGTTTGGCTTTGTTTAGGCTTATTACACTTTGCTTTGCTATTTGTGGGGGACTGAACACCGAAAGAACAATGCAAGCTTATTCGTCCTCTTTCTATTGAGATGGAACCAAAACACCTATGCTTGGTTTGGGCTGATAATAAACATGTCACTCTGCGATTTTTGGGTGAATGTGCATTCTAACCCCAAACACACCAATTTGAAATAAGCCCAATCAGAGCTTTATCATCTTCTCTTTATGTAGATGGAACCCAAAAGACCTTTTTTTTTTTTTTTTTTAAATCATATTTATTGAAGTTTCCAAAAATATAAAAGTACAAAGAAAAAAGATAAAAGAAAGAAGATATTTAAAAACCTTACTTTCATTCCCTACTTTCTGGAACTGGCCCCCCCCCCCCGGTTGTATTCCCTTTCCTTAATTTGGTTCTACAAGCTCTCACTCCCAAATTTAAAGCTTAATTTGTTTAACCCACTATCCAATTTGAATTGTACAAATCTTACCACCGTCCCACATCATTAACAGAAAAAGAAAAAGATTTTCCCCAAGATCCACCCCAGTTCCTTCCACAAATTCCCTTTTTTTAAACACGTCCGATCAAAGTAAAATAACATGCGTAAGTTATGTAAAGAAATAGAAAATAAAAGATATAGAAAAGTTCAAAAAATGGTTACACAGCCTTTGGATTTCAAATCTCCCCCTTCCCGGTTTGAATTCCCCATGTCCATCAGTCTATACATTATCAGCGTAGAAATCTCAGTTCATGACCAAATTTCTACCCGATTCCATCTTGCCGGTTTTCTTTTAGTTTATTAATTTAAATAATATTTGACTTCAAATGTCCAATCTAACAAAGGCCTTTAATTTCCTTGATCTTTACCACTCCTCCCGTTGTTCTTTCCGTGTCGTAATCAGTCCTTTATTCTTCTTATTCCTCACTTTCTCAGGTTTCTTGTCCTGTTCAGCTGCTAAAACTTTCTAATTCAGAAATCTAGTGTCTCTGCAGAGGTTTGTTATTCAGGAACAAAAACTTACGTCCAGTCCCTTTCTTTCTTCAATAAAAATTCCATTGTCTTCCTCTGTAGACAAAATACTCTTTCAGTTTTGCAGCTTTCCCAGAAGATAACAAATCCTGTGCGAATCCCAGGGTATTTTTCCACTTACGACCGTTCTTGTAGTATCCTGAAACCCCTCTAGGGGATTGTAATAACTTTGTATCCTCTAATCCAAAAGTCAAATTGTTGCTTATTTTCCAACAGTTTATATCCATATTATAGCAAATTGTAGCAAAATTTACCAGCAAAGTCCTCATAAAGTCCTCTTTATATTCTCCAGCTTTGACAGCCACTTTGACAGCTGTCAAAGTCTCCGTCTCTCTTCACCAGGCTCCACGAATCGCCCCGGTTCCCAGGGGGGGGGGTTGCATTTTTCTTCTCATCCTCCACTCTTCTCCTCCAGCACATTTCTTATAATTTCCCATCGTGGAATTAATGATTTTTATCAGAAACATACTTCCCTTTGGACCTTGGTTACCCAGTCCTTGTTTTGGAATGCTTACAATAGGGGGGGGGATTGACTTCCTTTTTAATCGCCCCGCTCGTGCCAAATCCAAAATCCAAAATTTTAAACCCGGTTTCCCAATTACTCACGGGTTGTTGTTAAAAGTCCAAATTTTCAATAGAAGAAGTCAGCGCTCTCCGTCGAATGGCATGCGGCTGCGCTCGGCAGGGAAAGCAGTGGACTCAAAGCACCACGCCACTCCCCGGCACCCGATCCGAAG